CTACTCTATCTACTCCCATAATTATTATATCATCTAGGTAAGCTGCAACACCTGAAACATCTTGTAGCATAGTATCCATTATTTGCTGAAATATGGATGGGGCCGTCTTGACTCCGATGCGTAGTCGATTATACCGGAATAGACCCTTGTGTGTGTTTATGGTAAGCAGGCTTTTAGACTCGTAAGCAACAGGGATTTGTAAATAAGCTTCTGATAAATCCAGCTTTGCAAAAAGCTTACCTCCCTTCAGTTTAGCAAAAAGATCTTCAGGTAAGGGTGATGGATACTGATGAGTTTCTAAGGCTTCATTCAACCCGGTTGAGTAATCGGCACATAAACGAACGCTACCATTAGTCTTCTTTACTACTACTATCGGTGCGGCCCATTCTGAGAAATTCACTGGTTCAGTGACACCTAGTTTCTGAAGTCGTTCTAGTTCTTGCTCAACCACTGGTAGAGCAGCATATGGTACGGGTCTCCTAGGTCGAAAAACGGGAGTAGCTGCAGGTTTTAGGGTTAACACTGCTTTGGCCTTCGTACATTCCACCAGTCCTTCTTTAAACACGTTTTGGTGTCTTTGTAGCATGGCATTTTTCTGGATCCATTCTGAGGTGTTGTCAGTACTGACTCGTCTGCAGATACTGTTAATATAATAGTCTGCTAGTTTAAGTATCTCTATAAGATCCAACCCTATTAAGTCGAGTGCTGGCTTCTTTGTAAGATATACTGTTGCATTTGTTGTTACAGTACCTTTAGAAACAGTGCATGGTACTTCTCCAATAATATTTAACTTCCCCCCAGATGCACTGTGTGCCAGCTGTGTTGTTGGGAAAACTGTGGGTCTCTCAATGTTCTTCCACGTTTCTGGGTTGATTAAAGTAATATCAGAAGCTGTGTCCAGCTGAAGGCGGGTACGGTGTTTGTTAATATTCAAGGTCACATACTTTCTTTGGTGGCAACTTCGTGCTCTGTTATGTGATACCAATATCCTGTTGGTTGGAGCACTTTATCTGTATTTCTTTGAGTAAGATTTCAAGGAACGTTGTCTATAGTCTCTTCTCCTGCAGAAGTTTTCTTTATGCCCCTTCCGATGACATTTGCTGCAACTATGTTCTTTATATAGGCAAAACCTCTTATAGTGCCAACCCCCACATGCCCAGCATGGAGATGATGGTTTGTCGCTGTTATTTTGGAAATTATGGGTACTGGAACCTTGAAAGACTTTTCTCTTGACTGCATTGACATTATGGAGACAGTTACCGTTTTCTACCATTGAGGTATCATGCTTCAAGTTTACTAACCTTTGGCACTCGGTAGTCACTTCCTGCAGGGTCATGTTAGGGCAGTGTTCGAGTCTGCTCAGGATTCTGGTTCGGATATCAGCATCCTCGGATGAACCAAGGCTGCAGATAAATACTAAGCATTTAAACTGATCTTCAGACATGGACGACAATCTGAACCTCTCACATTCTCGGTTCACAGTTCCTGCATGCTTCACTCAGTCATCTCCTGGTTCTTTCGTTAACTTTGAGCACTGGTAACGGATATTGAATAGAGATGATTGTTCTCCGAAGGTTTGGGACAGGGTTTTGACTGTATCATCAAAACTAAAATTTCGTGGATTCTTCGGAAGAATGAAGTTGCTATAGCGTTCATGTTCCATAGTCCCAAGTTTTCTAAGAAGTATTCTGACTTTTGAAGCATCATCCAGTTTGCAAAGATCAATATAAAACAAATCTTCATACTTCTTAAACCACGACTCAAAGGTTACACCTGCTACACCATCAATATTAAATTCATGGATGGCGTTGATGACTGAATCAGTATGTGATACTTGAGATTCACTTGAAGCAGGGTTTTTCTCGGACAGGCAGAATTTCTGCATCAGAGTTTCCATGATTCTAATTTGGGACTCTTCAAACCTCTTTTCTTGACGCACCATATAAGCTTCTAATTGCTCCAAGGAAATATTCATTGTAGTTTTCATCCCCGTCGCCACTGATACGTCTTGTTGATGAAACGCTATAAACGATTCCTAAGCTATTTCGGTAAACCGCAGTCTAGAACTACACAGCGACTTGAACTCCAGAGAGAAGACACAAGTATGAAAGAAAATATTTATCGCAATATTCATTTTTGTATAGAAAATCAAGGGTATTTATAGATGTTGGCGTCTGTTAAATCAACATCATATTTTCAGCCAATCCGTTAACGTCGTATTATGCTACCGACCAATAATAGCACGCCACGCTGGAATTCTCGAACGTTCCATCGTACTCTGCTTGGCCAGGATCCTTCGGCTCTTTTTGGGCCTCTGGAGGCTCCGTTGAAGTTCTCCGGAAGCCGACTCAACATTCTGACTTCGAAATCAACAGGCCATAAAATACAAAAGAATTATCAGTTCGTACACACATGAAGTACAGTTCCTAATGTGCCAAAAACCTTGGATGAAGTGGATAGTATGGCAATCTGGGTTAAAATTAGAAATGAAAATTTGTCACTGGTTATGGAATATAGAGAGTTTCATCACAATTTTATACTCAATGTAGATGTGGTCGGCAAGGTTTTACATTTTTTGAAGTTAATTCATTAATTAGCTGTGAGGATCCTAGACGAAGTCAGAAAAAAGTTAATACATTGTCAATGGATGATAATAAACTCAGGATAAAACACAAGCGGAATTCCTCCTCCGCCTCTTCCAGTGCAAATTCAATTTAGTGATGATAGTCATTGAGTCGATTCATGGTTTCTTTGGAATCCATATTTTATTTATTAATGGTGAAAGTGTCATCCACATATCCTTCTTATAAATGAAATCTCTCAATTATTGGTTGAATTATCGTATTTTTCAGAATAACCATGAAACAACTAGCCAAGAGAGGGACCATTAGTGACCTCATTGCAACTATCAGTTTGTCTATAGAAATCATTATTAAATCTGAATTGCTTATTGAAAGTACTTTGAAGAAGCAATTCTTTTAGGTTACCTTACGATGAAATCTCTTCTGTTATTCTATAGGCATATATTTATCAAGCTATAAGTACGAATGTACGGCTTAAGTAAATGATTTCATCGAAAGCAAAATTTCCTTAGCTGGGTTATTTTTACTTTTATTCGAGGCCGGAGTTATCTTCATTATGCTGCTGATATTCCCTCTAGTTAATCTATGGGCCAGTTTGGAATATATGAAAATTCTTTATTATTTCAGTGACTGGGAAGCACTTTGTCGTGTGCAGATGGTTTTAAGCAAATTGGGTGCAACTCTAGTCGCAATCAAATATCAGCCCTTATTGGGTTCGAGACCGGCAACTAGTTCAGTAAACGTCAAGAGGAGTCTCTGGCTTCACACGCACGACGCCATGAAAACTGGCAGTAACTTCATTTGTGACTTCTCAAATCTTTTTATGGCCCATGGATCTGACTCCATTTTAGAGCGTACGAAAGTTTGTTATCGCCTTTTCTCGTATATCATCGTCGACTTAAATCACGTTAGTCAATAACGGAATTCAGATAAGTCAATTAACGAGAATGGCCTTTGAATACATATATTTTGTATGTAAAGTGAATGTAATAGAACAGAGCAAAATGACGCACAGAGAGGATGGCTGGAAAGCCAACTCTATTTTAGTCAAGCGTTACTCAATATTTATAGGCAGACAAAATAAAGCTACAGACATGTGATTAATGGAATAAAAAGGGCACACACATATACGCTCATATAAAAACAATCAAGACTGACCAGCGAATAATTGACAAGGTCAACATATGACTCAAGTAGAATGAATAGATTGGTTTGTCCAAAAACTAGAATAAAGTATATGGGCTTAAAATAATGACTGACACTACAGTCTCTCAAACTTATAAACTCTGGATTTCTGCTGAATCTTTATATCACTGTGTGCAAGAAACTTTGTGTTAACTTAGCTGTTGGAATTCCAATCACAAAATCATGATAGCAACATGGAAAAATTGGAAGAGGTGTAGCGGTAAATAAATCCCCTAAATAAATAGCTCTGTAAGTTTTCGACACTGGATGCTGACCACATTAGTTTTGATGGACTCACCTAACTGAAGGCGCTCGGTCATGGATCCGCACCAGAATACGAGTGGGAACGCCGTTCTCAACTTCTATTACAAACACTAGCCAGATTAGATCAGTCGATCCTCAATATATTGATAACCTATCAAATATATCTTCGAACCTCATCGTTTCTGTCTCTTGATTTCACTTGGTGGGTACGCTTCATATTAGGTGTTACTGGTTAAAGCGTTGTCAAATTCCAAATACCTTTTGCATCTTCAACATCTAAAAGTGAGAAGCTAGTAAAACTCTAACTTTAAGCATTATGAGTTACCCCATCTCGAATGCCCTCCCAGTCCAAGTGACGAAAGTCCTCTCAGTGGCTGGTTTCAAGAGGAGAATCAACAAATACGTATCACCTCCGGATTACCATCTCCGTCTTGAGCTAGTTGTAGCAGATGGAAGTCTCATAACTTATCTACCATTTTAATCATCACACACCAGCTTTTCCCATCTTTCCTTTTACAATTCTAGCCCGCTTTTTCAACTGCACTTCGGTTCGTCCACCCTGTCTACGCGACTAATTAATCGATCGATTTGTTCCTCCTAGCTTTCATTCATTCAAATTTTCTTCATTATTATTCATGTTGCGAGGAAGGAACTTCTTCACTAGTAATATGACAGCCGATGGTCTGGTAAACTTAACTGCTACAAACTCACACTCAAAACACAAGATACACAAATACACAAAATAACCACCGAAGTGACTAAAACTAAAGGAGTTGAGGGGCTAGACTAACGCCTATTGGACGTTACTAAGGAATTGAAGACATTGTAAGAAATATAATTAGTGAAAAAACAAATCGGTTTACAAGAGCTGGTCACAAATGTGTCAGGTATTGGTACATGCTTAAATTGTTCAATAGGGTGTATTTGTTTGAATGCTTCTCTAGTTGCTTGTAGCTTCTCGGACGTTCCAGACATTAGTGGCGTGGTTTTGTGCTATTTACCGGTGACAATGCTCCGAGCGTTTGCTACATTTCGTGGTACATTGGCTCCTGCTCGACACAGAATTATTCGAAGGTCTTATGCTAAGGAGGTTAAATTTGGAGCTGACGCGAGATCAGCTATGTTGGTTGGCGTCGACATACTCGCGGATGCTGTTGCAGTAACCATGGGCCCTAAAGGTCGTAACGTTATAATAGAAAGCTCGTGGAAATCTCCCAAAATTACCAAAGATGGAGTGACAGTTGCCAAAGGCATTGAGCTGAAGGATAAGTTTCAGAATATTGGAGCCAAATTGGTACAGGATGTTGCTAACAACACTAATGAAGAGGCTGGAGATGGTACGACAACAGCTACTGTTTTGGCTCGAGCGATAGCTAAAGAAGGTTTTGAAAAGATCAGCAAGGGTGCGAATCCCATTGAGTTCCGAAGAGGTGTTATGTCAGCCGTTGATGCTGTCGTTAAAGAGCTCAAGTCTTTGTCAAAGCCAATATCAACCCCAGAGGAAATAGCCCAAGTCGCAACTATATCAGCCAACGGTGACAAGGCGATTGGTGACCTAATTGCTACTGCTATGAAGAAGGTTGGAAATGACGGTACGATAACTGTCAAGGTAAGCATAATTTTCATCTACTTGAACAACTTAGGACGGTAAAACGCTGCATGATGAGCTGGAGTTCATCGAGGGCATGAAATTTGATCGTGGCTACATTTCTCCATACTTCCTCAACACTGAAAAGGGGGCGCGATGCGAGTTCCAAGATGCTTTCGTATTGTTTTCTGAGAAAAAGATCAATAGCATTCAAACATTATTGCCAGCTCTTGAATTGTGTCATCAACAAAAGCGACCACTACTTATAATCGCCGAAGATGTCGAGGGTGAGGCTCTTACAGCTCTTGTACTTAACCGTCTGAAACTGGGTCTGCAAGTTTGCGCAGTGAAGGCACCGGGTTTCGGCGACAACCGTAAAAATACTCTTAAAGACATGGCAGTGGCGACTGGTGGACTGGTATGTTCTTTTCATGTTGCATTTTCTAGATCTTTAGTTGACATGGAAATTAATATTCCTATTTCTATATTATATAGGTATTCGGCGATGAAGCAGATATGTTCAAGTTGGAAGATGTGCAGCTGCAAGATTTGGGACGTGTGGCCGAGGTCGTAGTGACTAAAGACGATTGTCTGTTGATGCGTGGTCGTGGTAGTAAGACGGATGTCGACAAACGCATCACGCAAATCAAAGAAGAAATGGAAGCTTCTAACAGTGAATATGAAAAAGAAAAAATGCATGAACGTCTAGCAAAGCTGTCTAACGGTGTTGCGGTCATCAAGGTTGGTGGAAGTAGTGAGGTAGAAGTTAGTGAAAAGAAGGATCGGTACACTGACGCACTTAACGCAACAAGGGCAGCAATTGAGGAAGGAATAGTTCCTGGTGGTGGTACTGCTTTACTTCGCTGTATTCCAGTCTTAAAATCTCTGGAGACAAAAAATGAAGATCAACGCACAGGTTAGTAAATTTTCCGCTGAATTATTGATATGTTGACAGCCAAGAAATAGACGATTACATAGTGATGAAAGGTACTTAAATCTAACTTAAGGGCTTACGGACCGGTCTTGGTACAGCGTGGCAGCGAAGTAACGAGTTGTTGGGATGAAAGGTTGCACTTGTTACTTTGTCTCATTGCTTTGTGTAAACGTTCATCTTACCATACTCTTGTCGATATATTGCTTTGCTCATTGCCAATGTCATTCTGTAATAATGTGATGACAAAATTATTAGCTCACTAGGTTTCCCTTGTGGTCAAGGTGAAGCATACGCTTGAGGGCGTCTAAATTGCTCAAGTGTTAATCCCACAATTATATGAGTGTTTTTAATCGGTTTGAGTGTTGCGTGACTGCGAAGTCGTGTGTCAAACAAACCGTAAACAAAATATCATTAAAACCTTTGTGCAGCCATTCGTAATTATGGTTGTTTGGGTATAATGAAACAATGTGATAGTTGGTCTGTAGGTTTGTGGCCGAAAAGCTACATGTCGTCAGACCAAACATCAAGTTTACACAACCAGCGTCTTGTTTTTTCGTGGTTGTGCAACAAATGCATATGGTTAGTTTGTTTCCTATGAGTTGGGTTGTCCACTTTTTTCACGGTAGTGCAGTGAAGTGCGTGTTACAAGGTACTGATGTTTGTTTGTAATCAACTCAGTAGGTGTGTTGGTGCTGCTTTCACCCTCATTACTGTTCTGTCTGAATATGTAGGCAATATTTCGGGCTCATATCGAAGCCACAAGGTTTTCCTTGTGGTCAAAGTGAAGCCTAAATTTAAGGGTGTCTGAATTGCTTAATAGTGTTAAGCGCGCACCTATATGAATGTCTTTATTCGGTTTGAGTGTTGCATGACTGAGAAGTCATGTGTCAAACGAACCGTAAACAAAATATCATTAAAACCCTTGTGCAGCCATTCGTAATTATGGTTGTTTGGGTATAATGAAACAACGTATTTATCGAATTGTGTGCTTGTAACTGTAAGACGTTTCTTCGGAATGTTTGTTTATCGCTCAACGTTTTAGCGTGATGCATTGTAGCTTCGTAATATCACCATTAGGTCGATTTATGCGCACTGAATAAACTTTACTTTTTATAATTCTGTAATAGCTTATCTCATATTTTCGCGGATGTGTGTTATGTTTTTTGCTGCAGTGCAATTTTTAGTTAGTCTTATGATTCAGTTTTGTGTTTCTAGGTGTTCAAATAGTTTTGCGTGCACTTTCAACTCCCTGTTATACCATTGCACATAATGCCGGGGTCAACGCGTCTGTTGTTGTAGAAAAAGTCATGGGCATGGGCCCAAATATGGGTTATGACGCTCAGAATGATGTCTATGTCGACATGATCAACGCTGGGATTATTGATCCCACGAAGGTAAGTACATATCCTTAAGCAATTTTGGTGAATCTGGGTATGACCTGTTAAATTAATTTCAACCTCTTCCATTTAGGTCGTTCGAACTGCTTTGGTTGACGCAGCTGGCGTTGCTTCTTTATTGACAACTGCAGAGACCGTAGTAACTGATTTACCGAAAGAAGAGTCAGGAGCAAATGTTGCAGGAATGGGCGGGATGGGAGGTATGGGTGGCATGGGTGGTATGATGTAGTAGCGAACTACACATATTTTGCATTTTGACGATGTTTTTTACATTGTAGTTGGTTAATTTTCGTAGATGTTCCACTTGTTCAAAGTCCCTAATTTTCCCTCAAATATACATAATTGATTTGATTAATGTCGTTATGCTTCTACAGCCTTGAACATGACTTGCACTTGTAAAGGTCGAATTTCGTGTACAGAAGTATGCGTACAATTCTGCGTTTTTGTGCGACGAGGTCCAGGGATTTGTTAGTCGACATATAACATGGCGTTTGTTGTGTGATTTCTACGTAGTCTGCCGTATATTAAATTATTTCCGCATTTAAGTTGACTTGAGAGGACTGTCCTGTCTTTATCCACTGTTTTGCCGGTATATGTAACCCGCCTAAGCGACTTCTGCTGTGTTGTTTTTTTAGGGTTTTGCGGTTGTATTTAACTGGAAATGTTATGTTTCATGTCTTGACGTAAGGGTGTAGGCCTAGCATACTTTGTGAGTTTCATTCACGACGGTGAGCTCACGTTTGACCAGATCAGGAATCTCGGTTGAGGGTTATGCTAACATGTGGCGAAGTGTCGTGTCCGCCCCTCGAACGGAAGATGGGTTTACCGCGCGGTGGTCCGCTTGTCCTTCAGTTGGTGCATAGTAGCCACGAAGAACAGAATATACGGGGTTGCAATTATTTGTTTGAACACATTTTGGTAGGGACTGGCACCGAATGCATATGCGTCACACTTCCTTGGGTTTGTGTGAGGGCTTGGGTACTGCCCGGGCGCCAAAATCAGACTTCCGCTTCTCATCCTATCAGTTTCGTAAATAACCTTGCAGCAAGTAGACAGTGAGTAGGACTTCCCTGGCAGTTGCTGTATACGCATGACCATGTAAGATTATTTGAAGAGGGAGAGCGGACTCTCCCCACCCTCGGCCATATAAGGGCATTTGCGTGCAGTGCTTATGTATATGTACTAGCAAATAGGCAATGTTGATGTAATACTGAATTATTTATTCGAACATACAAATATTAGTACAAGGGGGTACCATATATATATGCCATACACAATGAGAATGGGAAGAGAAAAAAGGTAAGGTGAGTATAGGAAATATATGACGCCACAGATTAGTGTGTTGAGTGTAGTAATAATAATAGGGGAAAAGGAAAGGTATAACCAGGAGGATTCTTTCAGTTATGGATGATAACCACTTTTTATGAACAAAGAAAAATGTTACAGCCGGATCGCCACTGACTTCTGTTCTGAGCCATATATTATAACGTCTCTAGCCACTGTGTTGCACCATCTCTCAGACCCCAGTCGGGGGGTCGTGAAGGACCATCACAAGCCAGTCCTTTGCAGCTTTCTTTCATACCACGACGCCATTTCGTGCACTGACCACCTCCGCTTTTTCCAACCAGTCCCAGAACCGGCAAATAATGCACGACGTAGAACATGTTCAAGCCACCGAAGCCGGTGTTTCAAGATGGTGACACGAATTACATTATTGTCTCTGTGCCCGAACACACGATGCTGAACCTCTGCATTACTAACATGGTGTTGCCACTGGATGTCAGCAGTCCTTCGGAGACAACGATGATCAAACACTGAGAGTCGTCTAACATCCTCAATTCGGAGAGGCCAGGTTTCACAAGCATGGCGGAAAACTGCTCTCACTGACGCGTTGTAGATCCGACCTTTCACAGCCAGACTGGCATCACGAAGGCGCCAAAGGTGGCCTAGGGCATGATCAGAGTCCAGATAAGTACTCCAAAATGAGCGGCAGTCTTTTACACAATCACGCCAGCGGGAGCTGATCGCGATGTGATCAATCTGAGTCCAGGCTTGAGATGCAGAGGGAGGACGCCAGGTGGCACATCGGCAATGACTGTGCCGGAAGTTAGTGCTAACCAGAAACAGGTTGTGGTCTTTGCACAGTTGCAGTAGACGGTCCATGTTATCTGTCCTGCGACCAACAAGTTGAGAGGGAGGACGGGCCCTCCCCATTCTTGGCCGTACCAGAGCATTTAGGGGCTTTACGTATGGTATACCAGTTTGCGAGGTAGTAAAGTCATGGATTTGGCTGTTCTGCGTTGTATCCTCAGCCTGTGGGCTGATTAATTGGCTCAGAATTGATCGCAGCAACGTATATATATTCACTCTATCTATAGTTTAGTCCCTTATGTTTCCTACGGCTACCCATATCGTTGTACCATGGGGTTTGGCCTAATAATCTCATCTCGCTGTGTTGGTATAGTTTGATAACTCGAATTAATGTATATAAGTCCCGGGTTATACGTTACAAGTCACATTTTGATCATGTGTAAGATACCTGTATAATCTTCCGTTTAGGTGTTTTGCGATGTACATGCAAACGTGAGAATTTTTGGAAGAAAAAACCAGTGGGGTCTTGTAAATGAGAAACCTGTTGAGCTGACAGTGAGATAAAACTATAGCGCAGTTGTCGAGATAAACAGCATCTGTTAAGTTGGTATCCCTTTTGAATGTAACTTTTATCAGTGATTCGAAATACAACTCGGCAAGTAAAAGCTTAACGGAATATTTTCTTTTAGGAGTATTGCAAATTGTCTGTGCACTTTGAAGTAGATTATCTGAATTATAATCCTCAGTGCAGTGTGGTTGTTATTCGAACTCTAATTTAGTTACCTAGCAGGAAAAAATTAAATTTTCTAGTTATGATGTCGTGGTTAAGGTCTTGTGAGCCTAGTTTTATATGTACACTGCTAATGAGTCCGTGAATATTCACAAAATAGCTGTCTAGTAACCCAATTTTGTCAAGGTTTCTTTTAGATAAATTCGATTCCCGATTTTACGGACAAACGATACTTATTTATTCATCACGATGTTTATATTTATAAACGAGGAAAGAAAGCCCTGTCCTATTAGGGTTGTATTTTACAAAATCCTATCTTATAATTTAAGAGATTATAGTAAGCCCATTGAAATATTGTCTACTCAGTGTAATTTAGATATTTAATTCACTATGTAAAATTATGTGTGACTCAGATTGAGTCCATGTTTGGACATCAGTCTTTATCTACTCTCTTATTGGTTGTAAACACAGACAATCAGTAATTTATTTGCAAACAGTAACACTCATAAATATATATATGGGTTTTTTCAACACTCTCACACTCGCTTCCCTGTGTGCTAGTGGAGTTTTACTAATCATTAATAACATACAATTTTTACAACTGGTGTGCTGGCTTTTGAATAATCTCGAGTCAAATCATTCTCCTAGTAAGGAGATTTAGCCTGATTAAATAATCAGTTAACGGGATACTGTTTATTGGAGTCAGATATATAGAGAAATTAACCTCTACAAGATAACAGATATTTGATCAAAACAAATTCGAATCAAAGGACAAGGTAAGATATTACTTGAAAAAAAAGTAAACAAACTAGGTCACCGTGCAAATAATTATTTGAAAAAATCAAGTATTGCATTTTTCACATAAGAAGATTAAAACAAAACAAAACCACATTTGAAAGACATTAATACTTCACATACACAAACCAAATACAGACACGGGGTAGGAAAAAAATGATGGGAGTAAGTATATTAATAAAAAATACAAACACAACATGGGCAGTCACAAGAATATCACAATAGAAATGAGGTGATGGTAATGAAGAAACTATCATAGCTTCCTATATCATCTACCTATACATAACATGCTGAGTAGAAAAAGTTGTATTGATGCAACATAGACCATTACATTTAGGTCCGCGTACTTATCTACCTACACCTAAGAATATGTTTAAAGTTACATGATAATATGTACATATATGAAAGAGAATAATTAATAATTCCTTGTGTTCTTGTTTTATTCGTTTGTAAAAATAATGAATTCATTGTCAGCTTAATAAATCATCTATGTCACATTTGGATAATGGTTTTATTAGACTATTAGAATTTGATATATTTTGACTAAGCATTGTTGTTGGCATTGTAATTGATGATGTTGTCGGGAATAATTGATATGTAATTGCATTTGGAACAGCTTGTTGTTGAACATGTCTCATCACGTTAGACACTGCTGGATAAAGTGGTATAGAATTTAATGAGTTACAATTATTACCACTAGTGAATGGAATAATTGAATTAGGTAAAATAGTTGATTGTAACTGTTCAACATTATTATTCAAATGATGATATAGAGAGTTGCTATTATTATTGAAAACACCGTTCTGTTCATATGATTGGTGTTGAATAGTTGGTGGTGTGATTAAAGCTAAAGGTATGCCTGTACCTATACGATTTGATTGTGTAGTAGATTTATTCATCATATCAGATGTGCTATTGATTGCATTCACATTATATGATATTAAAGTATTTGTTATATCAATAGGTTTTGGTTTATTCATTGTCGTCGTTGTCATCAACTTCATTGGTCCAGCGCCAGTAGCAGGTTGTAGTAATGATGGTGCTGATGTTAAATTAGACGATAAACGTTCAATCTGATGTTGTTTAGCAGCTAACTGACGTTTTTGTTCTAAGCTTAGATTAGTACTTTCATTGGTTATCGAACCATTGACTCCTTGAATTGACGATGTCGTTCCTGTAGATGATTTAGGCGATGTATTGTTACTGTTATTTGAATTTACAGTTAAAGCTGTTGGTACAGGACTACGTTTTACGTATTGATCAGTATCATCCAAATAAGCGCAAATTATCCGAGTCATCTAGTCAAAATAAATAAATACAAACAGTAAACCACAACATCGAACTAAGAATAATGACGAATTAACAATTAGCTTCAAAGTGTTAGTAATTATCGACTATGCATAAATTATTATCCATCTAAATGACTTTAATCAGGATCTTACTTACAGTAGTTCAAGAACAAAGTTGTTTTCACGGAAACAGTAGCAAGACAAAGCAAAAGTAGAAAGTTTAGATCAAAATTTTAATTTTCACACAATGATCTGACTACTAGGTAGCGTGCTAATATTCTAAAATGTTTGTTCAACAGCTAAGGCAAATAAAAAAAAAGTCTTGTTGGTGAATGAAGGTTTAAAATCCCAGTCAAGCAATTCAATTTTAGAAAAATCCTCTCAGTCAACTTCCATATAGTTCATCTTTAGTAGGATTAGCCATTTTGGTTCATTCTGTCTCAATATATTAGAATTCACGAATCGTACAAACTGAAGAAAATCTCTGTGTTTATATTCAAATTTTACTAGGCATAGTAGTTAACTTCGCTAATTTTATAAACAAAGAATGGTCTAACATTGATGAGGGGTGAGGCAAAATAAAAAATTGAACAAAGAACGAGGAGAATCTCAAACCGTGTAAACTCAGTTGAACATAATTCTTCTATACAATTAAGAATCTGGTAGTGAACAGTTCTAACTTCAATTCATTGTATGCATAGTGGAGTGATTATTCAACGTGATCATTCAATAGCTATAGTTGTCTCACTTTCAATACGCTTGACGATTCCTCACCGACCACGGCTTTCCAGTGAACAGATAGGTGTCTAAGAGTACGAAGAACAGTAATTCCTACCCTTTCATTTTGTTTAGATTAAAACCCACAATTCTTAGTGGTTATTCAACTGATGTAAACAATCCGACAACTTACTATTTTCCAAACAGAATGAACAAAATATACTTAACTAATTGATTGCAGCAATCAACTTGACAATAATGACGATAAATTATGAATTATATAGTGAGGATAAATCACTAGCTATTGAATATCAAATAACTACTCTGTGTAAAACAATCAGACAGATCACTTAACTTTTTAGTAGACTTTATAAGAAATCTTCTAAAGATTTGGTAAACTAATATTATAACTTTTATTTTACCACTATGATCCTTTGTAATTTTAATAGTTTTTGCATTACTAACCCCTACTGAAGATTAACTCATCATAGGAAATTCTCTAAAGTTACCCATTTTGTCATAAAGTAAACATGAAAAAAACTCAGTGGAAATTTTCTTTTCGATGAAATCATTTAATTAAGCTTTATATTTGCATTTATAGTTGTTTGAGAAATATAGTCTACAAGAAAAACGAAGAGATTGCATCATACGGTGATTTAAGATATCAAAAGGAGGTTGTGTAATGGTCAAGGGGTTAGAGAAGATGTAGAGGGATGAAAATAGTTTATAAATCAGAAATATTAGATAAAACTGTCCACCTGAACGATATGAAGAAAAATGAGAAACATATAGGTCATAATAACAATTGAATAGTAAGCATGAAATATTGTTCGAGGAAAATAATAACGGATTATAGTTTAAAAAATACAGGATGAAAAACATACTGTAGAAGGGAATTAGGATCAAGGAAGGATCAGAGGTGGGACGTACCGCTTTTCTACGCGAAGCTTAAGCTTGAATTGGTGGGTCACTAACGCCCGAGCAGTGTATGACTTTTTGGTTCAATATCCTTTTGATCCAATTCTTGTGACTGTAAAAGACGACTCTTTTGGAGCAAAGTGCCCAGAGTTGATCAGGTGCTTCTGCTTTGAGCTTCGCACTCCCCTTTTAAAAGCCATCTCGGGTGATATTATGAAACGTGTTTGAAAAGTGATCGCTTTGTGCGGCCAATGTAACCTGCCCCATAAGAGCAAGTAAATTTATAGATGCACATTGATATGGCTTAAAATGGAGGTTAAACCTTAACACAATCGTGAATGGTGGACCGGCATGAGAACACAATACGAAGCTTAGCTGAATGGGTTTTATTCCTGGATTTTGAAGTCGTTAATTTAGGATTTCAACAGCCATATCTCCTCTAAATACGATATTCACTAAGAGTTTTATTTTGAATTATTAGTGCTCTTTCTGGACGCCTTGGCGTTAAGTTCACATAGAGGAATCTCAGTGGACAGCCAGTTCTAACGAGTGTCTGTCGAATTTGAAGTAGTTCGTCATCTCTTGTGTCATGAGAACATATACTTCTAGTCCTCGAAGATAAAGTGTGAATTAAGTTTCTCTTTATACCCAATGGGACTCAGATATGGAAATTCGTATACTGACCATTCCAGGTTGGCTTTTTATAGATAAGTCTTTACAAATAACGAACTGGTTTTCGTTACAACAGGACAACAAAGAGATGAAATTCATTTTTTGCCTATGCTTTCAATGTAAATTCAATTTTGTGATGACATTTATTGAATTGATTCAAGGTTTCGTTGAGGTCCATATTTTATTTACAAATAATGAAAGTGTCATCTATGTATCTCCCTTATCAATGAAATCTCTCAATTATTGGTTGAAGTACAGTATTTTCCAGATTACCTATGAAACAACTAGTCAAGAGAGGGACCATTGATGACTTCATGGTAACTCCATCATTTTATCTATAGAAATTATTATTAAATCTAAAGTGAACATTGAGAGTACATCGAAGAAGAAATCTCTTCTATTTGTCTATAGGCATATTTTTATCGAACTATAAATACGGATGTACAGATTAAGTGAATGTTTTCATCGAAAAGATAATCTTTTTTCGCTGGATTCTCTTTATTTTAATACTCTAAAGTTCTTTTGAGTTCTGTCGTCGTGACTACTAGTGGAATTTAATAGTATTGGGAATGCGAGATACAAATATTACAGATGATACGGGATAATTGTTGCAATCTTTCAATTTCTGCTGAAATTACAAATTGAAATCAATGAATGAACTCTAAATTAATGGTTACAAAGTATCATGTTCAATGTGAAACTTAAACGTTCTGGGTTTTTGTATGACAGGATTGAAAAGATAAACTTTCATACTTTTACTCGTTGTGATTTTTGTACAACATTTCCGTTTTTTCTTTAAATTCATTTCGATGATTATTCAGTGTAATATTTGTTTTTTTTCCAGTTTGACAATTTATTCGATATGACATTAATTTAATTGAGTGTAATGTTTCTTTAAGACACATTATCCATGTATTCAATTAACATGAACTATACTCAGCATGTAGTTTGTTATATCCCTTGGTATTTTTGATATATATGATTTTATTCCAATTAATAATCAAAATAGGTGTACAAACCAATATATAATAATGAGTGTATTTTCGACTAGGGTCGTCATCATGTTTTAGAGTGAATAAATCTTCATTTGTACCAGTCTTGTTGTTCTTATTTCGCGTCGTGGGAATTGCAGTGGTTCCTCGTTTTTTTTTCCAAGTATAAATAATAAGCGATTCTGACAACAATTAACGACGATCAGTTATAACAATTGGTGACAGGGTCAATTTACAAGTTTCAGTTTTTAATATAACTGTCTGGTTCCAATTTTAAATTAGATTTCAGTTCAATTTAAACCAAATCCTGTTTCCTTAGTTATAAATATACTTCTGCTTTTATTTATCAAGTCGGTGTTACAACAAACGATGCGGTCAGTGGTATAAGAACATGTCAATTTTAGTCGCAGAAGTACAATCAATGCTTCAGTTTAGTAAAGATGTGTTCATCAAATCTCATTTAATGCTCATCAGTGCATTGAAGGAACATATGCGTAAATAATCAAATCTGTAATTGGACTTAAAAACTGTAGATATATTTTACCGAGATAACTGGTACATTTCCTGCTGCAATAAGGAACAGTTTTGTGATTGAAGAGGTCAACAAATCATTTAATAAGGTTAACTCTAGGCAATTTTCAAAGGTTCTTTTATCAGATTCATCTCATTCTAATTATCTAGTTACGTCGAATGAAATTCAAAATCATTGTGAGTCAATCAATTTCTTATCAAATTTCTAATGGTATCATATCAGTTGCTGACTATCCTAGTGACTCATTAGTTTCTAATAAAGTCATTAATGAATTTGAGAAAAATATTTCAAATGAATCAAATTCTGGAGATATCATAACAAATGTTGCTTGTTCTCACAATGTACTTGTTTCTAGCGAAGACCTTGGTCAATATGAAACACAAATCCTCAATAATTTCAAATCTAATTATAGTTTTGATGGTCTCAAATCAAATGTTATTTATCCTCGCAATCCATTCACTCCTAGTTAGTGTGAGAAATATGTTTTAAATGAGTCACATTTTAATAGCATTTCAGATGTTATTGTAGATATTGGGTGATCTCATACCTTATATATAATCCGGAGAATCTTCACTCAATGCTATAACAAATGATTTGATATAAAAAGTATTTGTGAAGCAGTCCTGAAACCAGAATGTCCAGGAGTGATGTTCACACAGTAGGAAAATTTGAATTTATTCCCCAAGTCTAACAGTCCGAAATTCGGGGTAAGGCTTGATGCATGTGGTGGTAGAAATGAGGATTTATGTAAGATGAAAGCTGCTGAACTAGACGTTGGCTTAAAAGTTCATGATTACCTTAGGAAAATGAGGTCAAATGAAGATAAAAACTGTGTGAATTTCATCTTGCCAAAAATATTACGTATGATCAAACCGTGTTTTTGGGAAATTGTTTGATGAGCAATCATCAGATTCCAGTATTCGTTATAGTCATCTACAAATACTCAGCGAATCTTATAATATTTATCTTGCTTATTCGGACAAAGTGAATGTCACATACAAAAAGGTAAACTATGTTTCAACAACTCAAAGTCAGTCCAATATCAATATACCTGTACGTAGAATGCAGCCGCATACTGATCCTAATGAGTATGAAGCAAATACGAATGTCCCGTTCACATGCTTTGGAGACAAAGCGAGCCTACATGAATCACATATATTGTTACTGACAAACTGAAATGTAAAATGTGCTTATTCATATTATGAATGGAATAATGGCATCGTATTTTTACATCTGAAAGTTGAAAGCACTACCATGTATAGTACTACACATACAGGTAGAGATCATATAAAAAGATCTTTCAAACATTATGCATACCAGTCGTAACAGATTTGAACTCGAATCAGGTCATCAGTACATATTGATGTAGAGTCTGAATCTATTAGCGAACACTTGAGATCCGTAGTCCGTGAAGAATACTAAAATTCAAAAAACACTTGACTGAAAACACTGACTATAGTTTAAATTCTATAGAACGAACTTACCAAATCTGAACAGGAATTGGATGTGGCCCAGACACTTTCATCGATATTACCAATTCTTATCATGCTATAAAGTAGGGGAGAAAGAAGTATAAACATAGTCAATATGGAAGAGACGAGAATATTCATTGTAAGAGAAAGTTAGAACCAACATAGAGCCTAAAACAAATGTACGATAGTCTAGGTTGTTGCTCTTAAAGTTATAGTTTTAAAATAAACAACTGGAAAGTAATACACAGTCATTGTTAATGTGATATGAAATACACTAACTAAAATGTGCAATTGCATTCTTCCTTAAATACTTTACATTCATTTGGACAGAAAAATCATTAGGAGGTACTTCAGTTTTAACTGAAAAAATATTAGTATCTAGCAAAAGCTGCAACCTGTTGATGTACATTAGAATGGAAAATTGGTCGAATGATTTAGCTAACTGATGTGAACTAACAAGAAAAAGAATTATTCCAACTATGTAACAGTATGATTAACAATGTCCTATTTCATTGATCAACAATATCTAATTTATTCATACTTACTTAAGCCTTTTTCTATCATGCTATTAGGCTTGAAGAACGTAGTAATTTTAATTATAGTTTATCTGCTGTAGTGTATGCTACTTATGCTGACAGATATAAGTAGTATGTGACACCAATCAGGAGTGGAATGCCTGTCAGCAGAAGATTGATAAGATCCAATTGAAGAGAACAAGAATCCAAACAGAGAGCAACTGTTATAACAACAGAATTGAAGGAATGATGAAGCATGTAAAGGAAAACTCAGAGAAAATGTGCAAATAATGTATTTAGTGTATGGTTTTCATATTTTACAAAGGCAATCTGTAATTTTGTATTCAACAATAAATTGGTTTTCCCCACCTGAGTTCTCGTTCATTACAAGTGGAAGAAAATAACATACTTGAACTAGATTATAAATCAGGAGTTTGATTGCTGCATCTCTGGTGATTGATGAAGGACTGTGTAAGAAAACTAGGATCCTAACCAGTTAGAGATATAAATTTACCAGTATTTATATGGAATAATCACTAAGACCTATGATGCACTGAATACTATCTTATAGAAATTACTCAATAATGTGAAAATTTCGTTATTTTCAAGAGCTCTGATAACTGATTAAACCAAAAATACTTACTTACTTACTTACACCTGTTACTCCTCGTGAAGGAGCATAGGTCGCTCACCAGCATTCTCCATCCAACCCTGTCCTGGGCAATCCTTTCCAGCTCCTTCCAGTTGTAATTCATCCTTTTCATATCTGCTTCTATTATCCGACGTAATGTGATCTCTGGCCTTCCTCTTTTCCGCTTCCCTTCAGGATTCCAAGTTAGAGCTTGCCTCGTGATGCAGTTTGACGATTTGCGTAATGTATGTCCTATCCATTTCCATCGTCTTTTCCTAATTTCCTCTTCAGCTGGAAGTTGGTTTGTTCTCTCCCACAGAAGGCTGTTGCTGATGGTATCCGGCCAATGGATGTTGAGTATCTTGCGTAGACAGTTATTTATAAATACTTGTACTTTCTTGATTGTGGTTGTTGTAGTTCTCCAAGTCTCAGCTCCATACAGTAGAACTGCCTTGACGTTCGTATTGAAGATTCTCACTTTGATATTGGTTGAAAGTTGTTTTGAGTTCCATATGTTCTTCAATTGTAGGAATGCGGCCCTTGTTTTGCCAACCCTCGCCTTTACGTCTGCATCTGAACCTCCTTGTCTATCGACGATGCTTCCCAGATATGTGAAGGATTCTACATCTTCCAGAGTTTCGCCATCAAGGGTGATTGGATTGCTGTTCTCCGCTTTGAATGTGAGGACCTTGGTTTTCCCTTTGTGTATACTGAGGCCTACTGATGCAGAGACTGCTGCTACATTGGCTGTCTTTATCTGAATCTGTTCACGTGTACGTGATAGGAGGGCTAGGTCATCTGCGAAGTCCAGATCGTCTAATTGGTTCTGAGCTGTCCATTGTATTCCGTGTTTTCCTTCAGATGTCGAGGTCTTCATAATCCAGTCGACCACCAGAAGAAAGAGGAAGGGAGAGAGTAAACAGCCTTGTCTGACTCCGGTCCTTACTTGGAATGCATCCGTCAGCTGTCCTCCATGCACTACTTTGCACTGTAGTCCGTCGTATGAGTTCCGTATAATATTGACAATCTTCTCAGGAACTCCGTAGTGTCGAAGAAGTTTCCATAATGTCCTCCTATCTACACTGTCGAATGCCTTTTCATAATCAATGAAGTTGATGTATAGTGACGAGTTCCACTCAATTGATTGTTCGACGATGATCCGTAGTGTTGCAATTTGGTCTGTGCACGACCGATCCTTTCGGAATCCAGCTTGTTGATCTCGAAGTTGGGCATCTACTGCATCCTTCATCCGGTTCAGCAACACTCTGTTGAAGACTTTCCCTGGTATTGACAGTAGTGTAATGCCTCTGTAGTTTTCACATTTGCTCAGATCTCCTTTCTTTGGAATCTTGATGAGGTGTCCTTCTTTCCAGTCCATTGGCACTTGTTCCTCCTCCCAAATCTTTTTTAATAGAGGGTAAAGCATGCTTGTGGTTACTTCGACGTCTGATTTCAGTGCTTCAGCTGGTATGTTGTCGGGTCCTGCTGCTTTCCCGTTCTTGATTTGTCTGACGGCCATTCTAATTTCTTCCGTCGTTGGTGGGTTGACATCTATAGGAAGATCTGTGTGTGCTGCTTCGATGTTCGGTGGATTCATTGGAGCCGGCCTATTCAGGAGTTCCTCGAAGTATTCTACCCATCTGTTTCGCTGTTGTTGAATTTCAGTGATTGGCTTGCCTTCTTTGTCTTTGACCGGCCTCTCTGGTTTACTGTATTTCCCTGATAGTTTCTTCGTTGTGTCGTGAAGCTGTTTCATATTTCCTTCTCTAGCAGCTTTTTCTGCCGTCGTTGCTAATTCTTCCACGTATTTCTTCCTGTCGGCTCTAATGCTCCTCTTCACTTGCTTGTTTGCTTCTATGTATTCAGCTTGTGCTTGGACTTTCTCTGCTCGTGTTCGGCTGTTGTTAATTGCTGTCTTCTTGTTCTTCCTTTCTTTGATCTTGTCCAGTGTTTCTATAGAGATCCATTCCTTATGATGGTGTTTCTTTAGGCCCAGAACCTCTTGACACGTTGAAGTCAATGTTTCTTTGATGCCTTTCCAGTTGTCCACCATGGTAGTTTCTTCTTCCTTCAGTAGATCTTGAAAGGCTTGGAACCTGTTGTTGAGAGCTATCTTGAATTCATTGAGTTTGTCAGTATCTCGAAGGAAGGCTGTATTGAACCTTTGTAGTGCTGTTTGTCCACTTGTCCAGTTCATTTTTAGCTTCAGTTTTAAATTGGCTACAACTAGGTGGTGATCTGAAGCTACGTCAGCTCCTCTCCTGGTTCTCACATCTTCCATTGTCCTTCGGAATTTTTTGTTGATGCAAATATGGTCTATCTGGTTCTCTGTAGTGTGGTCCGGTGAGATCCATGTAGCCTTGTGTATACGTTTGTGTGGAAATATTGTGCCTCCTATGACTAATTTGTTGAATGCACATAAATTTGCAAATCTTTCTCCATTTTCGTTCCTCTCTCCCAGTCCATGTCGTCCCATAATATCTTCATATCCGGTGTTGTCTATCCCAACTTTGGCATTTAGATCTCCCATCAGAATGGTGAGGTCCTTTCTTGAACATTTCTCTATGATTGACTGCAGCCGCTCGTAGAATTGATCTTTAATGTCGTCGTTGCTATCATTGGTGGGTGCATAACATTGGATAATATTCATTGTGATCCCCTCCTTCTTTGTTTTGAATGATGCTTTGATGATTCTGGATCCGTGAGATTCCCATCCTACAAGTGCATTTCGTGCTACTTTGGACAGCATTAGAGCAACTCCCTGAGTGTGTAGAGCATTTTCCTCTTCGTGACCGGAGTATAGCAGCATCTCTCCCGTAGCTAGCCTTTTCTGTCCAGCTTGTGTCCAGTGGGTTTCGCTGATTCCCAGTACTGCCAAGTTGTATCTCCTCATTTCCGTTGCTATTTGGCTGGTCTTCCCGGTTTCCCACATTGTTCGAACGTTCCATGTACCTATAAAAATTTTTGCTCTGGTTGTTAGAAGGGGCATCGGCCTCGTGGCTTCCGAAGGAACTCGGCTTTCACCATGAAGCGTCATAATTCTTCTAAATGAAGACCTAACTCTCAGGGCAGAGTTAAAATGGTTTGAATTATTTTTTCTGGTAAGCGTTTTTTTAGCGAGTTAGTTTTCTACGGGATGGGGACGCTAACCCCATGCCCAACCCTCCTCCTTTACCCGGGCTTGGGACCGGCAGTAACTCTAGAAGAGCTACAGGCGGAGGTTGAAGAAAACAGGTTAACATTAAAATGATTGATTACAAGGGTTTGACGTTGTGTAAATGACGCTAAAATACGAATGATCCTCAGAGGCTCTAACGAGCTCGTCCTAGAAGCAGTTCGTATGCCTTGGTTTTTTTTAACTAATTATGTAAATGATACATCAATGTTTAATGGTCACAATTACTTTCAATTCATAAATTCGGATAAAATTCAAATATATTCTTCTTTTTCCTTACCTGTCCTCATCAGTTGCAGCACCATGCAATTGCTCTAATTTAGCATATTGTTCACGTTCCAAATATGAACACATGTCTCGTATTAATGATGCATAAGCGCTGTATTGCTTTAAATTTAAACTGCTTTCAATGGATAGTGGGATAAGATAAGGCAATACTTTATTAGCTAGTTTTTCTCGACTGATGCCCAGTTTTTCATGACTAAATGCTAAGCGATATATACCTGTATAATAGGGTGGGGGAAGAGACAAATATAAAGAAACATGTAGTTAGCAAACAAAGTCTCAGTATTTATGTACACTAGTATTATTTAGCATAAAACCGAGATAAAGTGATGATTGTAGGAAGAGACCTAATGTATCAACAATGTTTATCGGGGTTGGTATTCGAACGGAGCGAATATTGGAGTAACCGTAACTTTTGGAACTGTTTTAAGTTGAGTAATTATTTACATTTTTACTCTGTAATTTTTAAGTAACTAAATTATATCTGCATATACACTAGATTGTAAGTTTCCACTAAACCCACTAACTATTGCTACATATTTTACTATTCATTAATTAATGCTAATTAACGATTCACCTTTTGCTCTATATTCGGTCACTTATGACTTGGTTGTGAATTGTTATGTTTGAAGAGATTACCAGTTCACTTAATCTGAAAACAGAACGAAGACTCTGTGAAACAATGACAGATAAGCTAGATATTCCATCGCGACCCAGTCCAGCTAACTAGAGAGAGAAGTCTAAGTTTGGAAGAGGGAAGCACGAACAACCACGACAAGTCTAGTTGGAAACACACTCATTTATATATTGATCCATACACCCATTTTTGATTAATAATTAGGATGAAATCACATATATGATTAATACTTGGGGTTATAACAAATCATATGCTGAGTATAATTCATGTTAATTTAATACAAGAATATCGTTATGATATACCGAATAAAATGTCATACTGGAAAAACAAAATAAATACTACATTGAGTAATCCATACATTGAATTAAAACGGAACTAATGTGGAATAAAAATCATAATGAGTAGATCAATATAATTTTGACTTTTCATCACGTCATATCATGAATAAAGTATGACTTCTTATTTGGGGTTCTTTTTGGTCTGATGATTCATGTGTGCAAATTGCAACGTGTCACAAAGTGTTGGGTCGCAAGAAGCATCATCATAAAGAATGAATCTCTATCCAAACCCTGGGCAAGATTCAAGAAAAGAAGAATAAGAAGACAGCAATTAACAACAGCCGAACAAGAGCAGTGTGGGCCGAAGCACAAGCTGAATATAAAAGAGCAAACGAGATAGCGAAGAATAGCATTAGAGCCGACAAGACCTAGCAGCGACAGCAGGAAAAGCTTCAAGAGAAGGAAATATGAGACTGGAACGGAAATATAATGAACCAGAGAGACCAGTGAATGACAGAGAAGGCAAGCCAATCAATCAGATTCAAGAACAGGGGAAAAGGTGGATAGAACACTTTGAAGAACTCTCGAATAGACCAGCTCCACTGAACCGACCACACGTCGAAGCAGCACACACAGACGTCCCTATAAATGTCACCCCACCAATGATCGAAGAAACCAGGATAGCCATCAGGTAAAGCAGCAGGAGCTGACAACATACCAGCTGAAGCGCTGAAGTCAGACGTCGAAGTAACTGAAGACGTGCTTCGTACTCTATTTAGAAGGATTTAGAAAGAGGAACAAGTGCCACTGGCAGACTGCAAAGAAGGATACCTCATCAAGATACCAAAGAAAAAAATCTGAGAGAATATGTGAACTACAGAGGTATCACAATACTGCCAGTACCAGGAAAGGTTTTCAACAGATTGATGCTGAACCGGATGAAAGACTCAGTAGACGCCCAACTTCGAGATCAACAGACCTGATTCCGTAAGGATCTGTCGTGGACAGAAAAAATCGCGACAATACGGATCATTATTGTGCAGTCAATTAAATGTGATTTGTCGCTAAACATCAACCTCCTCGACTATGAGAATGCATTTGACAGTGTGGGTAGCAGGACATTATGGAAACTTCTTCGAAACTATGGAGTGCCTGAGAAGATCGTCAACATCGTATGCCATTAATACGATGGACTACAGTGCAAAGTTGTGCATAGAGGACAGCCGACAGATGCATTCAAAATGAGGACTGGAGTCAGGCAAGACTGCTTACTCTCCCCCTTCCTATTTCTTTTGGTGGTCGACTGGATTATGAGGACCTCGACATTTGTGGGAAAACACGGAATCAACTGGAAGATTTGAACTTCGCAAATCACCAGATGAGATGTGGAAACTTTCATATGCCTGGTCAGCATCATTGATGAACAAGGAGAATTTGATGAAAATATAAAGTCGTAGATTGCCAAAGCAAGGACAGAGCTCTTACAATTGAAAAGCATGTGTAACTCAAAACAACTGTCAGCCAACATCAAAGCTAGAATCCTCAATAAGAAAGTCAAGATAGTTATACGGGGTTGAAACTTGGAGGTCTACTAAGAAAAGTAAGTTGGACAATGATGAAGTATTAATGCAAATAAGCTACAGAGTGATTGAATGAGAAAGATATGATCTAAAGTCTCCAATTATTGTATAAAATTACTACGAGGACCCAAACGAAATATCTCACTTTCCAAAATGACTGAGAGCATCAATTCATGATTTCATGAACAAATTTACTGTCTAGGTTTGGTTGAAACAAACAGTTTTCCAAGCTGTTTCTTTACTATTTAGGAGTGCACGTGGGTTCACCTATAACACAACTTTAAATCACCTCAGTAGATCTAGGATAAAGGCTTCTTCATTTGGTTTACTACATTTAACTAATCCCATTTACTTAGCCCTAGCATTACTTACTTGATTCTAACATACGCTATTTATTTATTTGAACACATAAATATTGGTACAAGAGAGCGCCAATATATATGCGCCACACAAAACAATGAGAATTCGAAGAGAAATAGAAAAAAAAACAACGAAGAGATTGGTGTAAGGTAGTGTGGTAGTAATGAGGGAACGCAAAGGTACAATCGGAACAAATCTTTCAGGTAAGGGAGACACTACCACTTTTTATGAAGAAAGTAAAAGAAGATTACAGCAGGATCGCCACTGGCTTCTATTCTGAGCCATATCTGATAACGTCTCTAGCCACTGTGTTGCACCATCTCTCAGACCCCAACCAGGGAGTCGTGAAGGACCGACTGAAGCCAGCCTTTTGCAGCTTTCTTTCATACCACGACACCATGTCATGCACTGACCACATCTCCGCTTCTTCCAACCAGTCCCAGAGTCGGCAAATAATGCACGACGTGGAATTCTCTGGGACGACATTCGGAGAACATGTCCAAGCCACCGAAGTCGATGTTTCAAGATGGTGACACCGATTGCATTATCATCTCTGTGCCCGAACACACGATGCCGAACCTCTGCATTACTAACATAGTGTTGCCACTGGATGTCAGCAATCCTTCGGAGACAGCGATGATCGAACACAGAGAGTCGTCTAACATCCTCAACTCGGAGACCTTTTTAAAGACAGGGACAACTATCGACTCATTCCATGACGTTCGTACACTCTCTAGTTCCCAAACCTTTGTAAACAACGTCGTCAATTCCTTAGTCAAAAAGTCACCACCATCTTTAAAAAGAGCCGGAGGTAAGTCATCTGGGCCAGGTGATTTGTAACGCTTCAAGAGTTGGAGTTCCTTGCGGACTTCCTCCTCATTTGGTGGATCAGTCGTCACCGGCCATGGAGGGCAGGACAGTCTGACCGATGTTGCAGGAGCAGCAGGCCAGTTGAACTGCCCTTCGAAAAATTCTGCCCACCGTCCAAGACGTCGATGGATGTTAGTGATTGGCATCCCATCATCCTCGCAGATTGTTTCACTCACACCAGACTTCTTGCTGCCAGTGGCTCGGATGAGATGGAAGAGCTTCCGGTAGTTATCAGATGCAGCTGCTGCTTCCAGCTCATTAGCACGCTTCGACCACCAGGCTTCTCGGTCCTTACGCAAGCTTTGCCCAATTTCAGTACGTAACATCCTTCGTTTACGGTCAAATTTACGGTCACCCGGAGTAGACCGACGGGCTTCGATGAGTTGTAAGGAACCTGCAGAAACCCAGTGCTTAAAAGCGGGACGTTTCGCAAACCCACAACTGACTGTTCCCGCCATTTTCATGGCGTCATGCAATTGCAACCAATGCTCATCTATACTTTTCAGTGGAGTGGTAGCTAGCCTAGAGGCTAGCTCGGTTCGATACTTACTTGCAACAGAAGTTGCAACCAGATTGCTAACATCAACCCGTTGGTGGTGGTCACTCCGTTGTCCACTGAAAAGTAAGGCAAGATTGGCGCAGACCAAGGCATGGTCAGAGTCCAGATAGGTACTCCAAAAGGAGCGGCAGTCTTGTACACAACCACGCCAGTGGTAGCTGATCGCGATGTGATCAATCTGAGTCCAGGCTTGGGATGCAGAGGGAGGACGCCAGGTGGCACGTCGGCGATGACTGTGCCGAAAGTTAGTGCTAGCCAGGAACAGGTTGTGGTCTGTGCAAAATTGCAAAGTTGGCCCCCGAATGCCCTGGTACGGCCGAGAGTGGGGAGAGTCCGCTCTCCCTATCGAAATACTCTCACACGGCCGCGCGTATGCAGCCTCTGCCAGGGAAGTCCTACTCATTGCCTTCTCGTGGCGGGGGTGTTGTTTACGAAAATGAGAGGACGAAAAGCGAATGTCCGGCGCTTTAACCGGATCACAAATCAATGGTGCACATGAGCTCCAGTATCCTGCGGGAACAAATGGCGTATGAACCAATCGCTGGTCACCGGCTACCATGGGATTGCATCTACTTACGATGCTCCACTGCCTTGTGGGTTAGACCTTTAGGTCAAAGGCTCGGGGAGTGGCCCCCAAGATAACCACCTGCTTCGGTTTAAGCACCCGGGCAGTATCACAGCCTACACACAAATGATAAACTCTCTATGCCTAACATACGCTGGAGACATTTTAAAGGCATCAATAGTCAAATACTAACAACCTATGATTTTCCTAAACCTTAAAAGATATTTGTTGGGTCGGCTTCCGGAGAACTTCAACGGAGCCTCCAGAGGCCCAAAAAGGAGCCGAAGGGCCTAGCCAATCAGAGTATGATGGAACGTTCGAGAATTCCACCGTGGCGTGCTACCATTGGTCGGTAGCATAATATGACGT